ATGTTGTGATTTAATGCTACAAAATAAATTGAATTACATTTTTTTAACGTATTTCAGAGCAAAAAAGGTTTTTAAGAACTAATGATTCAAAATTTTTCATTAACACTTTTCTGACTTTCTTCTGTTTTTAATATTTTATTACCTAAAGGGATAGTTCACCCAAAAATGAAAATTCGAGTGTGCTTTGGAGGGTGTTGATTCAGTTTCAGGATCGTTTTCAGCCCATTTATATCAATGGTGGAAGACTAAATATGAAGCATTCTGAGAATAAGAACAGTAAGAGCGAGACAGGGCCTTTACCCTCCATGTTGTACCTGGCTTACATGCACTATGGTATGTGTGCAGATATTTGATTTTTACTAGTCACAGTTGGCGCCTGTTAGCCTCTTGTTGGATTACAGCAGAGAAATCTTTTACCCCTGATTCAGCCTGGACTTTGCTTGTGTCTTGAGACCAGAATCCCCCCCCCCCCCCCATAAACATGCAAACACACACGCGAATACACACAAAGCCTTTCTGTTCCCCCTCTGAGGCGGAGCTAGATGTAAGAAGTGCTTGCTCCAATGGTACAGTTAGATGCAAAAGTCAATAGTACTGTCCATCACTACATGATACAAACCATTCTTTTAGCTTGATATGAGGCTTTTTGTAACAGGAGGCAAGCTGATTTTTTCAAACTATTAAGGAATATAAAAGAGCTACTCCTGCTAAAAGTCAATACTGCTTTCATATCTGTGCCTTAAACATGTACAATGTTTTGTTCATTAAATCAATGTCAACTTGAACATATCTTGGGCTGAGACATTACCACCTAATTAGCAGAGAGAGACAACAAATTAATACACATGCGTGATTTCTAGAAACTAACCTGAAAGTATTATTATCTGTTGAGACAAGTGTTGAATGAACCTAACTTGTGAACTTATCATGAAGAGAAAACAGAAGTGAGAAAGCAGAAGTATGATGCTGTTGAGAAAGCAGACTTTGGCTCTCTCTCCACATGACTCACAAATCTGTCACACTTCAGAAAAGCCAGTAGTGAACTGAACTGAGAGGTTTTACATTCTTATACAAGCAACAGATAATCCGTCACATACATGGAAATAAACTGCAGGTAAGAACACAAGCTGTTACACAATTTGTGTGTTGAGGTGAGGATGCCGGTCATGTAATCAGTGCATAGATTTCTAAGGGTGATTAAACAGGAGTCAATACTGTGTCGTGTGTAGTATCTGTACTGTTTTTTTAGTGTCTCATCCCTTTTGGATCAACACAAAATCTTTGCAAACCAAGAATAACACCAGAATGAGTTGTGGGGCTTCTGGACAAGAATAAGACCTTGAGTTGAGTATGTGTGGAAAACTGTTTAGTGATATTTAAATATGGACAGAGTTTTAATGTGCATGTGACATGGCTGAGGAGGAACAAGACCTGTCTAGATCTATGTGCAGCATTCTCTCCTGCGCCCTTCTTATCAACATAACTGATCTGTGGGTTTCCAAATGCAAAGTCTGTAGTGGCGCCTTGTTCGAAACCAGAAAATTTGTTTTTCAATGCAAATGTCCAAGGTTAGAAAATATCGTAGAAAGTGTGTACTGACATTCTTTACTTGGATATATGGTTTAAATAATGACATTGTGTTTCTTTTACTAGTGAGTAGTGGAGTGTGTGGCTCGTACAGCTGTGGCCATGCTTGTGACCAGGTCTGTGGATCAGAACCAAAGTCCAAAGAAGACAAGAAAACGAGCCCAGCTAAAAGATCTCCTTTCAAACCACAAGGTGGGTAAGAGTGCATAAGCTGAACAATAAATACTACATCAAAGTCAATAAATAGTTGTCAAATACCATCTTATTCTTTGAGATCACATGCAGCTCATTGGAGTGTTATGGTCAGGCACAACATTGCACTGTGATCACAAATTAGCCACCACACTGTTTATCTCTTTGCAGTGCCTCCTAAACCAGCTCACCTCCAGAGCCCTGTGAGGACAGGAGAAGATCAGTCCCACAGTCCCACTCCAGGAAAATTCCCACCACAACAGCTTAACGACACAGAGTATGAGCAGAGTCGTAACAGAAGGTATGGACTTTCTGTTTCCTGTGTCAGCTCAGCACAGAACTGTCTTGGCTCCCCGAGTCCTGTTAGAGGTGGAGGGAGCCCTTTTTTGAATGGAGTATCAGGACCATATATCAGCCCTGCCCGGTCCCCTCAGGGGATTCCAAGACTCGCAAGCAGTCCAGTTTTAGGATCTCCAAGTCCAGGCAAAAGGAGCATCCAGAACTGTAGCCTGTTGAGGGAAAGAGGGCACAGCCCTGCCAAGTTATCCCCAAGAAACCTTAGCCCTCTCTCAGGAAAACTACGGACCCCCAGTCCCGTGCAGGGAAGAACAGGGAGCTACAGCCCCGCCAAGAACTCCAAGTCCTGGCTAGGACTGCACAGAATCCCAAGCTGCAAGATGGAGGGAGCAGAGAAGAAAACAGGGAAATCTCTGAGTGTGCCTGACTTGATTGTTTACTTGGATGAGAGCAGGTGGAACTTTAATTATTCTACTTCTGTACCTCAATTAACTAAACATCATCACGTAGCATGTATACCATTTTTCAAACATGAATAAACTTTATTTCTGCAGGATTCCCACTGAAAATGTTCAGCGTTCTCCACTGAAACGGCTTCAATCAGCCAACTGCAATGGACCTGCCATCACCGTCAAAGCACCGGCTAACCACAAACTCAATCATAACATAAGTGAAGGTCATCTATCATGCAACAGCATAGAGCATTCCCTCAGACAAAATAATGTCTTAGTGCAGGGCAAAGAGAGGCCAATAGTTAATGGGAAGCAAACAAATGAAGAAGTAGAACCACGTAAAATACCCACAAGGTGTGGTTCCAAGTTCTCCTGCCAGTGGAATGAAGCTACTTCACATGAAGGGAGGATTCCTTATGAGTGTATAGGGGAACAAAATGAGGACAAGCAGAGGGAGACGGGAGGAATCAAACCCAAAGATGAGAGCACAGAGCAGAAATTATATAAGATAGCCAATGAGCTCCTGCAGACAGAGAGGGCCTACGTTGCTCGCCTTCACCTGCTCGACCAGGTCAGTGTGGTCACCATTAATACAAATGATGCTAAAAAAGTCTGAAATTAAATTAAACATTTTCAGTTTTTTCTTCCTTTGTACAAGTGTCAGATACTTTTAGCTCCTGAGGGATAGAGTATTTCTTTAACTGTAAATCTAATGAACATGCTCTGCCTCTGCCTCCCAACACAGGTGTTCTGCTCACGCCTGACAGAAGAGGCAGGTCGAGGCTCATTTCCTCCTGAGGTGATAAGAAATATTTTCTCCAACATTTCCTGCATCTACTCCTTCCACAGCCAGTTCCTGCTACCTGACCTGGAAACCTGCATCACGCACTGGTGGGTCGTCTTGTCACAAACACAGGCAACATTCAGGACACGCAGACATCACATGTTTTACCTTCCCACTCCCACCACATGCAGGTGTGCGCGGCCAGGCCTGGGTAATGTTATGCTGCAACACGCACCCTTCCTGAGGATGTATGCCGACTACGTGAGGAACTTTGACCAGGCCATGGAGCTGCTGAGAACCTGGATTGAGCGCTCCACTGCTTTCAGAAGCATCATCCAGGACATACAGGTAAGAGACACTCGGCAGGTTATAAATACTATCCAGCTAAAAGTACAGAGGTGTGAACAGGACATCATTTATTCACTGTACTAGAGTCAGGAGGCGTGTGGCAGCCTGACCCTGCAACACCACATGTTGGAACCGGTTCAGAGGGTTCCACGTTATGAAATGCTGCTGAGGGATTATCTAAAGAAACTGCCCGAGGATAATCCAGACTACGAGCTGGCTCACAGTAGGTGCACCGCACCAGTTTCAGTGTCGTTTAACTTCCAGTGTCTCACAATGTGTTCGTCTGTCTCTCAGACCTCATCATGTCTGTAGTGAGCATCATGAAACTCTCCCTTTGTCTCCCTCTCCAGAATCCTTGCAGACCATTTCCATGGCAGCCACCCACTCAAACAGCGCCATCCACAAAGCTGTACGTTACCAATACATACCACACCATTTACCATTGTTCTAAGTCAGATTTCCGACACAACACATTGATTGTATTATGCTGTCAAAAGTCATTTAAATAACATAGTTGTGCCTGTATACATAGTGATCAGTGTTTTCTCACCATCCTTCCCTGCAGGAGAGCAGGAAGCGGCTGCTGGAAATCTACGAGATGGTTGGAGAGGAGGAAGTGGTCAATCCGACCAATGAGCTTCTCAAAGAAGGTCGTCTGCTCAAACTTGCTGCCAGGAACACATCTGCCATGGAGAGACACCTGTTCCTGGTGAGAACAGGAATGTGTAAACAGAAACAGATGATGACACACAGTTTGTGGATATAAATATCTACCTATATCTATCTATCTTATTTCTATTTCTTTACCTCAATCACACAATTATATTAAACTGCAGGTTTTCTAAGTCGTAGCGATAATAGGGACATTTATAAAGAGAACCCTGTGAATTTGACCTCATTACCACTTTATCCACAGTTCAACAACTTTCTACTCTGCTGCTCTCCGAAGTTCAGCCTTGTCGGGCAGCGCTTTACTGTTCGATGCAGGATTGGTGTGGATGGGATGCAGGTGCAGCAGACCACCAATGAAGACCACCCGTACACTTTTCAGGTGTCTGGAAAGGAGAGGACCCTTGAGCTGCAGGCCAGGTGTGTTTTCGTGTGTGCTCTACATGTAATGCATGTTAGACAACTGTTACCTCTGCCCAGGTTTACACTTAACACATTTTGTTTCTTTTTTTCAAAGCTCTGAACAAGACCAAGATGAGTGGATTAAGGTACCAAAGTATTTTTATGTTTGGTGCTACACAATAATTGATACATTAATCTGGAAAAGTTTCTGGTTGTACATTTTTTTCTTAAGTCTTATCTGTCTTATCTCCAGGTGATTCAGGAAGCCATCGATGTGTTTCAGAAGAAAAACGAAACCTTCAAATTGGCCTCAAAGGAACTGAATGTAGAAGAAGCAGTAGGTATTTTTTTTATTTGATCAGAAAGAGTTTGCAGTCATTGACCCAGCTCTGACGTGTGCACATTTTACAGGTGGAGGAACTTGGCCGACGAGCCCCCCGCTGGATCAGAGACAACGAGGTGACCGTGTGCATGAAATGCCAGGAGCCATTCAACGCACTCACGAGAAGACGACATCACTGTCGTGCCTGTGGCTGCGTGAGTGACCAACAGATTTATACTGAAATCATTAGACAAACTCATTTTACCAGAGGACAGTTCAGCAGTGGATTCTCTGATCCTCAGGTGGTGTGTTGGAAGTGTTCGGACAACAAAGTGGCTCTAAAGTATGATGGGAACAAGCTGAACAAAGTTTGTAAAACCTGTTACTCCATCCTGAACAGTCAGAGGGGGGAGGAAAGAATACTAGAGGTGAGCCTGACAGTTGTTTTTTTTAAGATTGAAGGATTTTGTTTTCTAGTCAATGACAATTAAATCTTTTCAACATCTGGGGGGGAATAATTGTGTAGGCGGAAACTGCACTGGCTGGTGAAGACACAAAGGCAATGTAAATTTGTAAAGTGCTCTCTTTCCTTGTGTGTTGCCTCTCAGTCTGAAGCGTCTCCTGTGTCTGGTGACGTTGTAATCAGTGGTTTCCTGCAGTTAGGTGACAACACCAAAACCTGGCAACGAGTGTGGGCTGTGATCACAGGAACTGAACCTCCAGTTCTCTGCCTGTACACTGTTCCACAGGTATGGATCTCTGGGATTAGAAAAATGTCTGATATGTTAATATTTGATTGTTACTTTAAAGCTTTAATTACATTTTTAAACATATGATTTCATAGTATTTTCAAGCTTTCAGTAATGAAGCCACAGACATGTTTCTGTTTGTGTTTCTCTGGTATTTGGGTGAAAGCGTGTTTCTAGACACAGATGTTGCCGCAGTCACTTCTGAGTGGCAAACATGAAAAACAATCACATGGACTCGCCACTTATAAAAAAGGGAAATTGCCCAAATGATGGTTTAAATATTGCTGTTGTGAGATAGACTGCAGACAGATTTTGAAACAAATGGCTGAGTACATGTAAACATGTTATGTATAAAAATCTAATTTCCTGACAAACGTCTTTAGAGAACTGGTGTAATCTTTAAAGTTCTTAATTTCTAACCTGGTATTTACATCCGTCCTGAGTGAGGCAATCACAAGTGGTCAGCACCAAGTTCAGGTCTGAACGCACCCAAAGTGTGTGCTGTGAGCCCATCACATAAATCACATTGGGAGGTAGTCTGACTACATTATTTTTGCAGTGTTAATGCAAATGTGTCCTAGGCCACATATGAAGGACCGCCCACTCAGCTGACATTTTTTACCCACCACAGTTTGAACTCGTTGATTTGTTTGAGGCCACCACCACGATATCAACACTGATCACCACGTAATGACTGATAACATTGTTACTTACTTATTATCTTTCTTCATAGCTGCACACGTTCATTCATTCTGTCCCTCCTGCCTCTGCTCACTCGCTCTCTCGTGCAGACACATCTGTAAACTGGGTAAAAGCAAGTGGTCACAGGGGACACATTCAGGACGTGTTTAGATGCCAGGTGTGAACAGACGACCTTAATGCTGTCCACCTGTGCTCGGATCAGAGGCCAGATGTTAATACCAGGTCTGAACAGGGCCTCTGTTGGGGGGGCTTATAAAGCAAAAAAACGTACAGATTAAAAAAGACAAATGTAGTTTTTCCATATAAATGTTTCCCTGCACAGTTTCAAACTTTGCATCTATGTCCCCTCCCTTTCATCCCCCTTGTGTCTCCAGGATGTGAAGCAGCTGCTCAGTATTCCTCTGCTGGGCTGCAGTGTGGAGGATTCCCCTCAGGAGCTGCAGGGTCAGACGTGTTTCAGGTTAACTCAGAGCAAAACCACCCACACGTTCTCCTGCGATGGTTTGGACCTGAAACAGCGCTGGATGGATGTGCTTAAAGATGCTGAGACGGGCAGGATGCCAGCGCGCTCGCTGTCCGACCCTGACATCACCACCTATGGTAACGTCAGTGACGGAAGTGTCTCCAGTGGTGAGGAACTAATCATCAGTGGACACAAACATGCAACAGATGAAAAAGCTCATTGACGTTAAAGACAATATTTGTGACCAATGTTTTTAAATGAATGAAAAACTAGAAGTGAAATTCAGACCTGAGAACTGTTTCCTTCACAAGTGGCTGTGCACTTTATTTCTGAAATGATTTGCAGTAAAATAAATAAAGTGAAAGTGTTTTAACATGAGTTGGACTACCCCTTTGACTACATTGTTTACTTTGTACAGGATGTGTAAGGCAATACACTGAGTTCTTTTCTGACAGTGGAACACCTAGGATTTCAGTGACACACGGAGGCTCAGTGGGATCGTAATCGTTTTACAAAACACATTCAACTGATCCCATTTGTTCACAGATAATTACAGCCACTGGAGTATTTACACTGAAAAACATTTACAGCTAAACAACATAAACTAAATAAAAAGATTTTAAAAATGACATGGATAAGAATCACTGTAAAACATATAATGACTTGGGATGTTCTCCATCACAAACTTCTTGTTTCAGATAATGTATTTTACAGCATACTATACTTCATGTGCAAATGATTAAATTAGTATTCTTGAGGAATTTCCCCCTGACCATGGACCTTCTGCTAATTTACTCAAATAAACCTGATCAATGAATGAATGCAGGCTGAGATTAAAGATGTCTCATAAAATGAAGACATTTCTAAAAGCTGCATGGTTCTTTTTTTAAATAACTTCAGGTTTATGGGACATTACTGTCACTTGCTCATCAACTGTTCACAGCACCAAGTTGTTGGGGATAAAGTTGCGATAGCCATCCAGCAATGAAACGATAACTACTGAGTCAGTAGCTAGCTGGTAAAAGATGAGGCTCCCTTTGTCAAGAGCTGCTGAGGAGCTAAATCATTGATGGAGGATGTGACACTGATATTTTTGGCGAGCGCTGGTGTAATTATAGTTATTTGCTTGTGTGTTTACACCATTAAAAGGTTAGTAGCAGCTGGTGTTGCTGCCAATCTAAACATTTTGGCCCCTTAGTGGTCTATAAATTATTTATGCACCTTCTTAAAATTGCAATAACACAAACCCAGTTTTGTTTGGTGACTTGTGTGAAATGGGAACAGGCTGCAGACGAAACATTAAAACGTACTAATTTTAAATGCAGTTCTATAGTCACCTGTCTGTCTGGGTTTCTGTCTTGAAATTCCCGACAGCAAAGAAACTTCTCCTGTATCAACAACACAGTAAGATACTCTCCGGTTTTACTGTTGAAGGAATTCAAAATACCTTAAAGAACAGTGGCACGCTGGGGTGTTCTTCGAAAATATGCACTGCTAAAAACAAGATCTCTTCTGCACTTGGCTGCATGATTGTTGTTCAAATATCAAGTTTGTGTCTATGACATAAAATAACTGGACCTCTGAGAAAAACACTAAACATTGTTCTGACTCTGTGTAACAGCTTATTCTGAAATCCCAGCTGACAGAGTGTGTACAAGCCATCTCCACCTGCCTTTACCTGCTGGACATCATTAGGAATCTGATTTGGTTTGAGCACAGGTTAAAAAAAAAAGGATTATCTTTCGTCATGACGTTACATTTAAAGACTGTAGAAGCCAAATCCATCAACTGGTCGTTTTCCACTTTTAACAGCAGTGGTTACAGACATGGATCTTGAAGACGAAGGCGGTTTGACCTGATTTGGAAATAGAGGTTTAAAATGGGATGTCTAAATCCAGCACTTGATACCAGGATAGCAAAACAGCATTAAACACAAAGGAGGAAAAAGATTATTTACAGATAGCCTCTCTTTCACTTTCAAACATTAAGCATCATCACACGTTTTGTTCAAATACTTCATCTTACACATCTTCTCTTCTGTCCTTCAAATGAAATGCTTGTACCGTACGTTCCCCAAAGAATTATTCCTGCTGTGGAATCCATCTCCACTGGGAGTTTATCTCCATCGCTGGGTGATGAGAAGGAGGACAGGGAGGTGAACGACAGAATAAGTCATACCAGAGATGTTTCTGGAGGCTCACAGGGTCCTGAAGACTCCAGGACGCCAGTAGTGCAGCACGTGGAGCCGTCTGGAGGCAGATCAACTCCCTTCTTAAATCCAGCAGTGATGAAAAGCGGAAAAACAGTTGGGCCGTCCGTTCTGACTCAGCTGCAGCAGAGCTGTTCGGATACCAGCAGGGTGTCGTAGCCATAGATCTCCAGCAGGTGGAGCAGGAAGAGCCTGTCTCCGTGAGGATCCAGACCCATGGCCCTCACGCTCTCTTGGGTCAGAGTGGGGTCGGGGCTTCCCGCCACCTCGCTCAGGGTCTGGAAAATCCGGTTGTTCTGCTCCAAGAAGAACCTGGGAAAGATAAGAATGAGAAAGCAGGTGGGTCAGGTCACTGGGTGACACAAAACCTGATGGAAGGACGGGACATGGGCCAAGAAAGAACATATTAAGATTGACATCCTTGTATACCTTTTTTTGTTAAAAAGCAATTTGAAGTTATCGTTTAATTGTTTTATTCGTCCATATTTGCATCTCAGAAAACCAGATGACACCTAAGTACAGCTAATGGGTTTAGTTTACACAGATGTTGTATGCAATCTATCCTATAAACATTTTAAAATTAAAAGAAGGAAACATTTTTAGATATATCCTATTGCTATTTAATAAGCCAACAAATATTTAGGTTTTGACTAATCATAGGAACAATCAAGAGAATATAAAATTATTAAAAGAATCAATAGCTGCAGCCCTTTCTTTAACAATGTGAGATCATTTTTCAAGCACTTTCACTGTTTTCCCTGGAAACAATTCATGGATCCTGATGAAAGAAATCCGGCACATTTAGGAGCTTGGTGCAGCTTGGTTGAATTCTAAGGGGACTGTTGGTGGAGGTATGCGCTCTACTCAGTGTCATTCAAGTTCAAATCCCTGTATTCAATAACCTGAGTAAAGCACAGGAAATCAGACGTAATAACTGAGAAGACTGTGAGAGGATGAGAGTGGTATGTGGAGTCGGTCAGACTCATTACTTCTTAGATTCAATTTTTAGTTTCATGAAAACATCAAGTTATTTCAGTGGTTGCTGCTTCACCAGCTGTTGAATGAATCATGTTGTACTTACAGAATAAAGAGATCCTCCTCACTGGACACACAGTCTCCATTCTCCTCCTGGGAGTACAGCAACATCTGCCTACTCACACACACACACACACACACATGCACTGGTGATGATCTACCTACAACTATTAGGTTATACATTCTTTGCAAAAGTTGAGGTCATGTATTTATCTGTGTATAAATCAGCAGTTTGCTGTGCAAGGATAAAGCTGCTTGTTCTAGAATTCAGTTATTTTTCAAATGTTAAAGTAATTTCCTGGAAAAAGTGCATTTTTGTACTGATTTATACACATTTCCTGTAGCAGGGGAAATTATGGGATAAGTGGAATTGAAAATAAACTGCAGCACGAGTGTTCATGGTGATAAAGGAGCACCTCACCCAGTACAACAGTGTGGCTCATTGACATGCTTTTATTATTTGTTGGTCAACGATGGAGTGAAGTACATCAAAATCTGGCTACGCAGGATATATGTTTTGGTTTTTTAAAAAGATTTGTTGACAGTAAGAAAAATATGATACCCTGGTGATTAATGTAAATGTTAAGCAGTGGTCATGTTGTTTTACACACCTCTGCTCTGTGAGCTTGCGATATTTCTCCCGGTCTGCGGTGCTGAGGCGGAGCAGAGGCTTCAGGCCGTCTCTGTAGGTTTTTACATTCTGATTGTCTACATACACGTCATAGAGATCCTTCTTCTCCTCAAATATCTTCTCAGTTGTACCTACACGTACAAACACACACACACAGGATCCATCAGTTTCCAGATTCTGGAGATGCTAGATGACGGATATTAAACTCTTTTATCCACAAAAATATTGAGCCTGTTTCTCGTATCCACTCACATGCTACATAGGAGAGCTCGTTCTCCAGGGCGCTGATGTCGGCCACATTAACGTAGAAGAAGGGGCGGAACTCGGGCACGGCCACGCTGACCCCAGGGATGGAGATGTTCGCCAGGCAACAGCAGCAGTACACTGAGGGGGTGCGGAGAGGGATATTAGTCACAAATGATGCACGAGTGTGGGAGAGAGAGAGAGAGAGGGAAAAATGTAAATGTGTGCACAACGTGTGAGCTGTTCAACACAGATACAGCCGGAGAGGAAATGCATGTATGATGATGTACAATTTACTTTGCAGGATTGCAATAAAAACATTGGATTTTCGAACAGACCCAGGATCAGCCTCTGCAGATATGTGCACTCTCCAATCACCCTTCTACTTTCAAAAATGTCAAACACTGTTATTAAACGTCTGTTCTAACACAGATCTGTGTTTCTCACCCCTGTAGCAGACCACCCCCACGGGAGGGGGGGAGAAGATGAGGATGCGTCTGCGGAGGAGAGCCAGTTTCCACAGCACCATGATGTGCTCGCCAAAGAAGCGGATGAACTGGGACATGCAGCCTGCGGGGTGGGTGATCTGGTCCGCACGTATACACACAAAGAGGCACTCAGGGTCAATGAGTCATATAATATATGAACACACTCAGGTCAGACACAATAGCTGGTTGGAAAACCTCCTCCTACCTTCATCTCAGGGTGCATGCTGTGGTTAAGTGCAGCTCCCCAGGCAATGGCTGGACACGCAGTAACAACACCATCTCCACTAGGGGGCAGGAGTGCTCTTTTGTCCTCATAAAAAGCCTCTAGTGGGGAGTAGTGGCCTGGGGACTGGAGTTGGAGCCTGAGGCAAGAGATAAGATAACATGGAAAGAGAGTGAGAAGAGACAGGAACTAAAACTAAATTAAAGACACATTAAACATCACGTAAGTTGCAGTTGCAGGCATTGCACTTGAAAAGAGGACAGACAAATTTGAGGAAATATATTGTTTATATATTGTTTGCTTTATACACATGAAAATATACAAGGCACAAGGCAAAAACGGCTTTCTGATGTATACATCATCTTCATCACTGAGGGCCCTTTAGATTTGAAACAGGAGAAGTAAAGTGCTGTGTACGTGTGGTTCACACAAATATAATTAATGCAGACAGTGTTTTGTCAAAACAAATCGTCAGCTGCAGCCCTTTGTCATACAAATGAATCTGTGGCCTGGAAACAGACTGGACTGAATTCAGCTTCCATCCATATGCAGTGGCCTGGACGACACACTGGGGGAACTACTGTATGCAGCTGCACGCCACAGCTACGACTATGTCTACAGAAATGTGACACAAAATAATGTGTCGAACTGTTATATCCACCGGGGATCGAGGTATTTTTCAAATCGGCTGCTATAAAATATCATAATATTGTGAAAATACTGTAGCTCGGATCACAATTTTGAAAAGCAACTTGATGCCACATAAATATTATATTTATAGATTTTCAACAAAGAAAACACCACAGTCCAACATCCACACCCAACACATATACATGTAATACCAAAGAGAAGGGGAAACAGCCATGAGGTTTAAAGATTTTTGAAAAGAGGTTTAGGTTACTTCATCTTTAGTTATTCAATGTTTCATTTCCTACAGGGGTCATTTTTGTCTATATAATATAAAGATGTACGACATTACAGCTCCTCAAAACTGAAGCCAGTGTCATGATCGCCCCCTGGTGGCTGGCTGTGGTATAGGTCATGAACCCTGCCACCTCCATGTTCATTGAAAAGCATAATTGGCCTTTCTTTGATAAACCAATCAGTTCCATTAGCTGCAGGTACCAAGAGAAGACAAATATTCAGGCTAAAGAAAAGAGGGATAGAGCGGAAAAGAGAGAAAAAGGGTGAAAGTCTCCATAAATCCCTTAACATCTTAATCACCTCATGACCAACAGAGAGCCCTTTATATAAGAAACAGACGTTGGCATGGCAGTCAGCAGATGGGGAATCTGGAGCGAACCACGCGGGGAATGATGAGTGAGGAGCATGACCGTGAGAGAGAGTGGGAACTGTGTGAAGGGGGGAACAGAGGAGGATCAGGGAGAGGGAGGGAGCGGGGGGGGGGGGGGCACTGGACATAGAGAGGGCTGTGTTTAAAAGGCCACTGAGGAGAAAGTGTGACAAAACTTCAGATGTAGCACTGAAGTGCACAGACCAGCAAAAGAATGAACGGGGTGAGAGGATAATGGAGGAGAGTTGTTACTGGAGGAGATCAATGTTGTCAGGAAGAGAAAACATCTCAACAACAAGTCAGTAAAATGCCTTTCACAATGAAATCAATCAGAGTTAATTTTTTAACTCACTGTTTTCTACATCTAGGTTCAGCATAGGCACAGCCATGACAGCTACACATTTGATTTTCATACAGAATGCTGAGTTCGAGTGTAATCAAATAAAGTGGATTCAATAATCGTAAGTCAATCTCTTTTTTGTCGAGACTGGAAATTTTGATTTCAAGTTCTCGTTGGTCACAGGAGTCGTACGTTTATGACACAATCACAGTTCTATTCTTGTTGACTCATTCATATTTTTTCTTTTGATGAGTCTAGGATTTTACAAATACAGAAACATTTATATTATCCAGTCTTTGTTTGTCAAGTGACCCCAACTAATTATAAGTAGCACTCAAATAAGTCAGGGATTAATCATTTCAGAGACAGATAGACAGATGGATAAATAGATAGATAGATAGATGGATAGATAGATAGATAGATAGATGGATAGATAGATAGACAGATAGACAGATAGACAGAATTTAAAATCTATGAACAGACATGGATGGATGGATAGATAATACTAATACCATACATATATTAAAAAACATTGTATATTAGTGCAAGTCAAGTGAATATATAGATTATAGCACAAACCTATAAAGATCAAATGTGATATGTGATGTGATGAATAAAAAGTCCAGAGTCGACTCTGTTGATCTTCTTACCTGACCTGGTGCTCCAGGAAGCTCATGTAGCGGTAGAGCAGCGTGTAGGAAGGAGACAGGATCCCCACCGACTTCATCCTCGCCCCCCTCTCCACCGTGCTCTCCACCGCCATGTTGGCAAAGCAGGCCAGGCCGAAGTAGCAGCCCTTCCGGAAGTATCTGTGGACGCAGGGGGAGAGAGAGACAGACGAAAGCATGAGTCAAGAAAAGTAGTGAACCTGCCAGATGGCTGTGCCAGGCAGGCAGCACTATGTGATGTTCTGTCCTGCCAGAAGGGAAACATGGGGCCGCATCCCAATACTCACAACTAGCCTCCTGCACTTGCTTGTTTGCACGCACGCACACGCACACACCAACACACTTACATAAAGTCTGTGGTGACTCGGTGGGAGCCGCTGGCGATGGCCTTGAACTCGACTCCCTCCAGGTCCATGTCTTTGGGCAAACACCACTCCAGCATGTTTCCTAACACACACACACACACACACACACACACACACACACAATAAGAGATACTAACAAAACACACATGCAAGCTGCTACAGAAACAGACGGTAAATGCATCATAATTTAATTTCCTCTTTCATGCAACTGGATTAATTCTTCAGAATCCATTGTGTCAGTTGAGGAGTGACGCTCGAGAGGCAGCTGAGCAAATACAGTCTGATAGGAGCAGGGACACAGAGACTGTGACTCAGCCTGTGCGGTTGTTTTAATCTAATCACTAGCTACGAATATCAGTCTGTGGAGTTTCTGCAGAGATGTGCGCATATTAGTTTTCAAATGACGGCTGCAGGTCTGTATCATCCACTGAGACTTTATATAAGCACCTGCAGCTGAACCCCATAGATGCTCTACTGCACATTTGACAGCTGAGATTGACTTGAAGTGTTGAGCTGAAAGTATCGTGCAGTGCTACAGGTGTTAATTGTGCAGAGGGACCATCATTAAACCACTTAGTTCAAAAATTAGTTGATGTAAAATCAACCACAGGACGATTTGCTCTGATTTGTGATGCATCTTGATAACTTAAGTCTGTAAGAAATGATTTTGAAACGAATATTTATTATTAAAGGTGCAGAGCTTTATAAAGTTTAATGTTTAAGTTTCATTGCTTCAAATTGAACTATGAGCCTTTTCTCTTCTCATTTCCTGTCGAATCTGCTCATGTTCCCTCTCTTTCTGAAAATACATTTCCAGGAGAGTTCCAGGTGTTTTTCCTGAGAATTCAGGGGAGCAATCGCTCAAAAATGTAACAGTAAGCATGGTACAAATACATTTATCCCACTTTAACCTCCTTTTTTTATGATGCAGGGTTAATGATCAAGATTCTCAATTACAGGTGATGGCAACCTCCATCATTAATCCCTGTGCAATCGTGAACATTGTACTTGAATTGTGTCACTTCAAACACTGACTTATACACATATCAACTTCAACCTTTGACATAAATTGAGAATGCTCTACATCTATAACAATTTCAAAATGTAGCACATTCCCCATGAAAGGGTTGTTTAACAGGTAATGTTGTAATGGTTTGTTACGTACACCTCTAGTAGCCAGGAGAGTTACAGGAGAGGGCAACCCTTTCATACTGCACAGCTTCTTATCAACAGTGGGTTGAATTTCAAACAAAATACAAGCTGAAGTTTGCTTAGGCATAAGTAATTGCAATGGTGGCAATAAATCCCAGGACAATTAAGATTATTTGCAGGACATTGACATTTTCATTAATTTCCAGTCCAATTAATGTAATCAAAACTCCTCACTAAATTTCCAGATGTTTCAAGATGCGTGCAGTGAAAGCATTTCTACTTTCTAATCGATTAATAATGTATGTGCTTCAGGGTGTCTTTCTCCTTTAAATGAGCACGCGTGCTTCCTGTGTGGAATACTTATGTTAATAGTCCATATCCAGCAACATATAATATTTTTTGTGAAATCTACTCATGCATTTGCACAAGTTGTTACCAATTATATTTTGATGCTGCAGCAGAAAAGCATCCTTCCTTTATAATTAACATTTGGGCGACATTTGGTGTGGCACCAGCTCGTTAGCGGACAGAAAGCTCCATGGTAACAGTGTTGAGTGTACAGATCAGGAATTGATTCAGCTAATCTACCTTGAGTCTCATTTGTGTTTTCTTAGAATTAAGGCCTTTGATTCGAATCCATGATCAGACAACATGGTGGTAGTGATGATGGAGCATTTGTGATACTATCAGACAAAACAAATGTTTTATATAAAGCATCATTTAAAGCAGATCATCATCCTCATCTCCTGTAGTCTGACATTCTGCAACATCTCACAGTACCCAGCTCCACCCTGCAGGACCCATCCAGCCATCTTTTCCTCTATGATACTTACATTGCAGGTGTCTTCACTGGCTACTGTTTCATCCTGTCCTCAAAGTGCCCCTCATTAAAAATGTATAGGGAAGCTCTGCAGAAACCAGCTGATTGATTTCCTTCACTGAACTCCCCCTGTCTCTGTGACACGTCTGATCTGTAGTTAGGCTCCGGAGGATGACATGGCTCTTATAAGATGTCTGTAAACTTATGGCCAGGTCAGGCAGAGCCACACCTGTAGGAGAGAGGCTCTGCAGACTTACAACATGCGCTGATCATCTCACACTGATCTGACTGAGGCAGGCTTCATCTATTCCCTCCCTTTTTATATAAGTCTCATCATGTCACTGCATGTTCTGTGTGATTCTATGATGCACTCATCATGGAATCAAGCACATTTGTGTCTCACCTGATCTGGTGTTGAACGCGACCACAAAAACCGACACAATCTGGTCCTTCTCCTCCCATTTCACCATCCTGTCCTCCAGCGACACCTCCCCGGGTCCCGAGTCCGACAGATGCTCCTCATCGTCGGGTCGCAGCCCCTCATCCCTGCCCGCTGGGGCTCCGGAGGTCGTGGGAGGGGTGCCGCAGCCGTCTGAGGCTGACCTGCAGGGAGCGAGACCCCCCGGACCGCTGCTCCACCCAAACACCGGCGCGGAGCATCCCGGGGTGGCGCGGGGGTTGGAGGGGCTCGACAGTCGGTCCTTGGCGGGAGCCGGCGCCGCGCCGCCGGGCTTCTCCGCGGACGGAACCTCCTCCCAGTCCAGCAGCGGGGCTCGGTCCGACCGCTCCACCATCCTGTCGGCGGTCCCGCCTCGTCAGTCTCGCCGCGGATCGTTAATGATGTCTCAGCCGCTGACGGGCGCCAGATCCACCCGTGGATGATCGCCGCTCAGAACAGGTCCCGCATCATCACTATAAACTGCTCCGAACGGCTGAATAAAGCATCAAATGTGGCGTTCAGCGGAGCAGCTTTTCTCCTCCAGCTTTAAATCTTTCCAGTGTGGAGCGATAATAAATGAGATGCTGCTCAGAGACGGCTTCGTCTAATGGAAGCTGCATTCAAAACAGCTCAGCAGCCGCTGTCACGGTGCCTTCGCTGATAAAGAACAGCTGTGGAACATCACTGAACACGGATCCGTTTTGGCTTCTTGAACGCACCCCGAACTACAGCGTCGGACCGATCTTGTTTTCACGAGCCGCACTTTCGATGAAAAGATGAACGTTTGAATAAAAGCGTTGCACTCAAAAACCACGTGTGCTAAAAAAACCCAGACAATCAATGTCCTGTCAGAATATCTCCAGTTTATTTGATCTGCAGCCGTTGTTCACTCATATAGTTTAACAGGTCATTTTGAATGTGTCGAATGTTGCGAAACAAAATATAAGGCCGAGTTGGTGACGTTGTTCAGCGACACGTCAACCACACGGAAGAAGAAGAAGTGGGTGTCTGTGCTGCACCTGCGTTTCTGATCCAAGGAGCTCAGCCTCGTCGAAATGGGTCAGTGTTTTTAATAATGGTTGAGAACACGGGAATGTGTCGTGTTCCATCTTCATCATACATGTATGAATCGTCAGCTACCGTTATTTTTTAATTCACTTAACGCGCTGTTCGACTGCTGCTAGCTAGGCTAGCATTAGCAACTTAAAGTAAATACCGTATGTTTTCTGTAATCCCTGGTGTTTCGGTGTGGACCGTTTACTTCACGTTTTCTACATAATCTAATCATCTGAGCTGATTTGAAACTGTTCCACGTCATTGTCACGAGAATCACTTGACAGTTTCCCAGTCAGTTCAATCCTGACATGGCTACTGCAGCTAAGCTAAACTCGGCTATCATGCTCAACCACCTGGGTGATACTCGTTGACAATTATCAGCTTTCAGTCTTGTGCTACTTGTCCTCCAGACGTTTTAGTGAATATTCTGTATGTTTATAAGAAGTCAAAACGAGAAGTGATGCATTAGAAAACATCATTAGTTACTACAGCTACTAATTGATGTGTTGTACCGGATACAACTTAGTTAATGATGAAGCATGCGCATGTAATTCCTAATACCTAAGTTCATAAATGATCTAAGGTGCATTTTCTATCCATACTCAAATCAATATCTACTTTTCTCGGCATTAAACGTCTGTATTCTTTTCTCCAGGTGGTTTCTTCTCTAATCTCTTCTCAGGCCTCTTTGGCACCAGGGAGATGAGGATTCTGATCCTTGGTTTGGATGGTGCAGGAAAGACCACCATTCTGTATCGGCTACAGGTTGGAGAGGTGGTCACCACCATCCCCAGTATGTACCACTTTGCCTTAGTATGGTTTCTTTATTTCTGTCCTTGTCTCAAACGTCAGATGCACTTTTTTTCAATTGCACAAACGGATTATGTACAGAAATTAAAGAATGAATTGCACTGATCAGGCAACTGGTAGGCAAATACTGTCACAGGCTTGTCAAACACAAATAACCTGCCAGCTCAACATTCCAGTTTGCCACAATACAATTTTGAGCTGGATGGAAAAACAAGTTTAACTGGATCTAATGAAACAAATTGAATTACAGCTCATTTAGACTGCAGTGACAACATCAACCCCTTCACCACCACTGAACGGCACAGGATAAGAGAATCTTCGAGAAGAACAAATATAATTGAGGAAGTTTAGAGCAGCAGAATCAGAATTGATCCATAACGACATGTCATAGGTTGAAGGCCTGAAAATGTAGATATGCAAGTTTCACAGCGTTACTTGTCTCAGGCAGCCATTCAGTGGGTTCGGCTGTGGCATCACAAACATTTTCTTAGACATGCTGCGTCACTTCTGTTTGTCAGGTTTCTCATTTGCGAATATTTATGGACAGAAAACTATAGATTTTAAAATAGAATTAACCGTGACACATTCTGCATGCATTACAGTGGTTGATCTTAATTAGATACAGATTTCTTTATAATATTGGTATCTGTGTTTCTGTTTGTCTATAAAAAAACTTTTATTTTAAAGAATAAATGATGCAGAAAACGTGCGTAAATGTGTTTGGTTATACTTGTGCTTACTTTTTATTTTTTTTTAATACATTATATGCTGAAACTTTAAAATCAAGCCTCATTTTGATTAAAAATATGTATAATGTATCAGAAATTCTTTTACTTCACGGAGGTGAGAATCAGGCTCAGGTTCTGTTCTGTGTCCTTACTGCATTTGGGAACTTTCTCTCCTCACAGCAATCGGCTTCAACGTCGAGACAGTCACATACAAGAACCTGAGGTTCCAGGTGTGGGATCTGGGAGGACAGACGAGTATCAGGTAGGTGGAGGAAGTAGCAGATTGCAGCTCCCAGGAGTGTGTGAATGAGAGGAAATTAATTAACGTGGAGCAAGAATGAAGCTCTAAACAGCTGTTTGCTCTGTCAGCACCAAGGAGATTAGGTAGAAACAGACAAATCAGTTTTCCTACAGCACATTTGAGATTTTCAATATTGTACATAACCATGCAATCATTAACGTTACTCAGTTTTATTAATTTAATCTATGTTCACATTTTAACACTCACCACTCGCTCTTTGATGGACCTCTCCTCCTCTCTCTCCGATTCACAGGCCCTACTGGAGATGTTATTACTCAAACACAGACGCTGTCATCTACGTCGTCGACAGCAACGACCGTGACAGGATGGGCATATCCAAGTCTGAGCTGGTGGCCATGTTGGAGGTAAGAGGACCAACACTCCGCTACAACCAAAATGCATTGCACCAATTTTTTTTCATCAGAGAATCATTGTGCCAGTGATGCACTTGGGTTCAGAGTGAAATTTCTTGACAACTGATAGATTCCAAAACAAAGGATCAAGTCTAATCTGAGGACACCCTTTATCTCTGCTGCCACTGTGATGTCACATCATCCATTGTCAGACACTAGTACATTGTGACAAAACAATAGTAATGTTTCTATTACATTTGTTTTGGATCATCTTGGTATTGAGATCAAATTAACTGTTAATTAAGGCTTTGCGATTAAAATGTCCTAATAGAACTAATTGTTAATACTTTATCTAATGTAATTTTTGCATCCTTTGTGCAGGAGGAGGAGCTGAAGAAAGCGATCCTGGTGGTGTTTGCCAACAAGCAGGACATGGATCAGGCGATGACACCCACCGAGGTGGCAAACGCTCTGGGCCTCCCCGCCCTCAAAGACAGAAAGTGGCAGATTTTCAAGACCTCGGCCACGAAGGGCGTCGGCCTGGACGAGGCAATGGAATGGTAGGCTTTACTACACTTGTTATACAGAGAAATAAGAATAAATTCATTATTATTCAGTGGGCAATCAAGCCGTGTGGACTACAACAAAAGATTATGAAAAGTCTATGAAGTTGTTTCCACTACAGCATTCACTATGAGCTGATAGTAGTACATCTGATATGTAGTACATCTGATAAGTAGTACATATTGCACAACATGTTATCTATCCTAAGTTTGCCAAGGCTCAGTTATGTTTACTCTCCGTCTGTCCCTGTAGGTTGGTGGATTCCCTGAAGAGTCGGCAGTAAAATTCTCCCCCACCCTCTCTGTACATACTCCTGACCTTTGACCCTTCTACATGACGCCTTGTGACTGACCTGCCCCTCCCCCCCATCCCCATGTCCCACTTACTTTTGGACCAGTGATTGCACTCCTGCCCCTCCTTCACCCACCTCATAACCACCTGAAGCCTTGGCCAAGCCCTCCCAATGCCTTCCAAGCCTGGAACTAAGAAGCAAGGGCTGCAGTAACGTCTGGACTGAGCAAACACATGTACACACACTACACCCATTTTTGTACGTTTTGGTAAATGCCGCCAAGTGTCAGTTGATGGTTGAATAACACCTGTGGACAAACGTTGCTACCTTTATGAATCCATTTGTTATAGTGTAGACCTTGAATTAAGTTATTGTGAATGAATAGGAATCAATAAATGAGGCTCTGTGAAAGGCCTGTGCACTCCTCTGTAACGTCTCTGAAAGAAGCGATCACCAGACACTGCATCTGTTTACTTAAGCTAATAACAGGCACCAATGTAGGTGAAAATAATGCCATGGAGATCCAGAAGGAGGCAGCATTTTCCTCAATTCAGCACAAACAGCTCAAGAGGTCCAATAGTGCAAATGTTCGTCTCACTCCCGGGCAACCAGAGACATTACCATCGAGAAGATCTCCATGTCTGTGTTTATTGTAGCAAATATAAAAGCCAATGACGGATAACTACTGTAAACCTTCTGCCGATCTGGTTTAAATGACAAAAAAAACTATTTGGCTTCATATTTGTCAACATCTGCTATGTGTCCTCGAGCCACGTGTTACTGCGGCCTGGGCTAGTTTTGTATTAGTCAGGCAGATGCACTGATATGGATTTCTATTTTTTTCTTCCTGTTTATTTGTTGTTCCCCATTTTTAAAAGAAACAATGTAGTTAAGCGGTTAAAACCTTTTTTCCCCCCATTGAAATCATTGAGTTGGGCTTTGGCATATTAGTCATTTAGTTACTGAACGAACACTAACTGTATGCTCAAAGATTTTTGGTGGCATATTTATATCTGCTTGTACAGTGACAATGATTCTGAGTAAAGATTGCTATCAGTGATTGCACCATTGCTGTGTTAAAGCTCTTTTATATTTGAAGAATCAAACAGTTTTAACGCAGATTACAGGTTATCAGTAAAAATGTCAAATCTTTTTTTAAATTACAAAAACGTACATTTCGCTGCAGAGGATGTGAATCTGTTCACAGCAGGAACATTTCAGCTCTGATCTGCAATTCATATGAACTGATGTCATTAGTGATAGACGTCCTGCTGAGCAACAGCAGTGACATGTCTCATTACGCACACAAGGATGCTGCATGTCGAACAGAGAAAAGATGGATTGAGTCATAGCCGGTTTTTACCACCTCCTTGCTCTTCAGCAAATCACCAGACAGCAATGTCTGTTCTCTGATGTTCTTGTCCCAATGCATTGTTTTCATGAATAGTTAAAGTCACAACATCACTAACGCCTGCCTCCTACACGAAGAGGAGTCCCCTGACTCACTGCACAATGGCCAGGTCTCTGAGCGCGTGGCTCCGGTGCTTCTTGGCTTTATATCCGGGTCGTAGAAACTCAATCTTCCTTTTCTTGGCTTCGATTTTGTTCCTGTGCTTCTTGAGTTTCTTCTTGGCGGCGATGTCTGGGTTGGCTACGGCCTGAGAGACGAGAGATGAGGACAAATGTCAGGTGGCTGCCAAGGATCAAATTAAAGCATGCGTGTGTATGTGTGTCCTCATTCAGATCTGGTATTAACATCCACCTGGTGAGATTCTGATTTGAGACCAAATTATGTTGTTTTTACCCAGTCAGACTTTACAGACGTGTCTGAGTTTGCAGCAGTGCAACGAAGAAAGATTTGACCAATTTTGAAAAGGGAGATCACATCTCCGGACGGGATCTATGTGTGTAAATTCAACACGTCCTGTCTTTCCTGATTCGTACCTGCATGGCTCTGTGTCGTTTCCGTGCCACTCTCCTCTGTGAAAACTCCTTCTGAACGGCGGAGAAAGCCAGCGAGAATTTCTCCAGCCCCACTTTTCTCTTCACCAGCTCGATCAGCTCCTGTGCCAGGTTCTTCAGCGTGGGGTCTGGACAGAGACAGAGAGCGCGGGTCAGAGTTCGAACAATGACTCTGCGTGTGTGTTCCAACATTTTTCCATTAAGACGTGTGGGAGCGGTTACCTTGTTCTGCGTAGGTGCTGTCCAGCTCTCTGTACAGAGGACTGATGATGGTGGTGAGATACGGGCCGAGTCCTTCCTTCCCCAGGTCCATGGCTAAAGCTCCCAGGAACTTAAACACACACGTTCTCTGTAGGAGAGGGAAAAAAAGAAAATGAAGGTTAGAATTCTATTAATTGACATGTTCCTCCAAGATTTGATAGATATTCTAAGATATTACAATATCAGAGGAACGGGGGGTGGAGCATGACTGGAGTCTTCGTACATTTTTATAATCAGTCTATCGTCATTGGAGAAAGTATCTAAATACCAGGATGTTAATTGTCATCAGCCAGAGAACAGGAGTTATTGTGATTACCTTGACGTGAACTTTGGGAGTGTGTGCTGCCTCTCTCTTGGCCATCAGACACAGCTTCTTCATCAACCACAGTAGAGACGGAGGTCGATCATCCTTGTCGTCTTCATCCTCTTCTTCCTTTTCGTTCTCTTCCCCCTTCTCCTCTTCTTCCTTTCCGTTCTCTTCCGCCTCCTTTTCTGCCTCCTTTCCTGCCTCCTCCTCCTTTCCTTCTCCCTCCACTTCATTTTCATTCTCCCTCTGCTGCTCCTCCTCCTGCTCCTCCTCCTCCATTTCTTTCACTTCTTCCTCAGCGGATGTGACGTCAGACTCGGGGGAGATGAGGTAGATCACCTTGCCGACGAACAGCAGGTTCTTGATCACCTATGGGCGGAGCAGAACATGACTCAGTTAAATCTGATCTGGGTCATTTAGCTGAAATATTTCAAAGAGGGTTGTTTAGGTTGTGTTTGTGCACCTGCTCTCCTGATGCTGTGTCCAGGAACTTGGACTGTAGCTGGTGACTGAACGATAACGCCAACTCTCTAATCTAGATGCCAGGAAAGGAAGGAAAGGAATTAGTTGAAGCAATGAGATTAAGAGGCAGAAATGAAAAACGAGTGGCCCTCGGCCTCACCTTCTTGTCCAGGTTGCTGGTGATGAAGGCGGTGGTTGCTGACTGGGAGGCAGCGTCTCCTTGCTCTCCTCTCCAAACGGTGACCAGCTGTTCTGCCTGCTGGGCTGCAAACATCTGGCCAAAGAGCTGCGAGGCCGTCAGCCACACCCAGCAGTGAGGGTGTCGCAGATGGGCTTCGATGTGACCTGCAGGCATTTTAGGGGGAAAAGTAGTTTTGATTCAGTTTATGTGGAATGTGGCTGCGTATGCAAGTGAAAGAACAGTTTTTTGTGTGTGTCCTTTACCCCAGATGTTCAGGAGTGTGTCGTCAGGGTTGTGGAGCTGCAGCAGGCCACAGTATTTACAGAGTTTGGTGATGAGAGTCAGATAACTGAACAACAGCCGGTCTGCTCCTTTCTCATCCTGCTCCTCTTCAATCTGAAAGACACACAGTCACAAAGATGCTTTTCCTTTTCTTTAGATATTAAACGACAGGACAGAGATGGTGCGACTGTGTTGACGTTTACGTCTTCGTAGTTGTCAGGGTTGATCTCTTTCTCCAGCAGGGGCAGCAGGTCTTTCAGACGACGGGCAAACTTCTCCTCCTCCACCTCCACAAACAGGCCGCAAATCTGAGCCCCCAGACGCCGCAGGCTCGCCTAGGGGGGAATTCATATGAATTCTAATGTAACAGGACTGTCACCACATTTACTATAAAGCACACAACATTCCAACAAAATATTACGAAAATAAAGATAAGCTGCTTATTTAAAATAAATGTTCCCCTGGATATATATGTACCTTTTCTGCTTTCAGCCACGAAATGACGAGGGAGTACAAAGTGTTCTTGTGGTTCAATTCCAGCTGAGTCAGCAAAGACTTGATGGCCATGGCCGCCATTTTTTTACAGCGCGCCGAGTCGTCATTGACCACGACCAGGGCGAGTGGGGCGAAGAACAGGCCGCTGTACTTTGTCACCAATTTCTGAAAAAGGGAGAAAAGATAATCAGGTCATCAGTAAACCAAGTTTTTCATCTTAAAGCCATTGACATAAATTAAAAATAATAATAATAAAGAAAAGACATGGTTTAATTAATTGATTAGGCCATTATGGGGACATTGTGGATTATATGGGTGTTTCTTTATATGTAAGTGAGGTTAAAATTACAATATACTGCAGTCCAGTCCAGGTGAAGATTACTCACCTCAGGGAAAGACTGGAAGATGAACGCCAGCATCTCCAGCACAGACTCCCTGCCTGTGTCATGCTCGTAGTGCAGCTGAGCCACCACGAACTCCATGTGGAACCTCAGCTTCCTCCCCAGTGGATAGTCCAGCAGGTACTTCAGATAGATCTGCCCGACACAAACAGTTAACTCACTGCCAGAGCAGAAGAATATACCGTCTCTTTACAAACATAGCTCCTCCACTCTCATGTTTGCGTGTGAACAAATTTGACACAGTGTTCGTCTAAATGCATTTTCTTAGCAAACATTACTTGTTGATTTTGTGATTAGTCAATTTCAAATAAAAAGTGTGTTCACCTGTCGACAGTGGATTCTGATCATAGCGTTGCTGCCGGTAACAGATAGCTTGGCAACCTTCGTCAGCACCTCCTCCATCTCTGGAACTACGAGCTTCCTGGACAGAATCGCCTGAATGATACAAAAAACACAGAGCGGTTTTATTTTTCTTCAACAATTTTTTCTTAAAGGCTCCAAACAAATAAGCTGAGAAGTTAAGAGTTACCTTCAGGAGACCAAAGGCGGTGGCCTGGCGTGACTGATCGTAGATGTCCTCTTCAGCGTATCCAAGCAGCACTTGCAGTTGTGTCTCAGTAATGTTGTTGCTTTTGACATTTTTCACGAGTATGGTGATAGCCTGAGAGACAAACACGATAAAGATGGGAGATATAAATATTTTTTTTAATGAGGGAAAAATCTCATTACTCAACAAAAAAAAACAAACAATAATTCATAGATGGCACGTATGTATGTATTTATTTATTTGTTTGTTTTACCTTGAAGCAGCTCTGGACCAGGTGGTAGTTTTCCCCGCGGGCCGCTCCAGCCTTGGAGTAATCCTTCAGCAGGACAAAGAGTTGCTTGGTCAGCTGCTCGGCGTTCTGCCCCACTGCCGGCAGAGGGAACTTCAGCAGCCAACTGAAGCCCACCAGAGCCTCTGTGATTACCTGACAGGGAGTAGAAGATGGAGGAAGTGGGCGATGGTAGTTATTTGATAGATCAGAAAGGGTTTGATCAATAACAGATACTTGTATAAACATCAGATGCTTGTACCTTGACGTGCATGGAGTCGATGCATTCGAGCAGGAGCTGCACGAAGGGGTCGAGCATTTCTAGAGTCGAGGCCTCGGACGACGTCACAATGGATTTCCTCAGACTCAGGTGAAGCAGCTGAGGGAGAGATGGATTCATACGATGACAAAACACTTCAGTAAAACTTTAGCTTCTGATAAAACTGAAGTTGTAAAAACTGACTAATTTGAGCGGCGTGTACCTTGAGGCCGGCGTCCACCAGGATGTGCATGTTGGTTTGACTGCTGACGGGAGCTTTCTGACCTCCTCTCTTCGGGGTCGGAGGCAGGAGCAGGCAGCTGGGAGGGGGCAGTCTGGGGTCGGGGGGAGGCTTAGCCGACGCTTTATCTCTAGAATTACACACACGTATATACAGTGTTGGAAACAGTCGATGGACATAAGATTTAAAAGTCACTGTCATTGAGCTTGTGTGAGCGTGTGTACCGATCTCTCTTGGTGAGCAGTGGCAGACTCTGGCTGATCAGGCCGTGGCACAGCAGTAAGATGTCCTGAGGGGTCATGCCCCCGTTGACAAGCAGACCCAGGATGAGACGCCGCAGCACTGCAACTACCCGGTTACACACCTTCAGACTAGATGTATTCTCCAGAATCTGAAGGGAGGATGATACAAGAGAGCGGAGGAGGAGAGAATCAGGAAAACTCTCAACTACTCGAGCAAAAACCCCCAAACTTCTGCAGGTCTCATTTCCACTCACCTCCTTCAGTGGCAGTATGAGCTTGGTGATGCTCTCCTTGCTGCAGAACTTGGCCAGCAGCTCGTACGAGTCCATGCTCTTGCTGTGTCGAGCCTCCATCAGCTTGGAGACGATCCCCTTCACCTCCTTCTCCTCGGCCACAGCCCCGAACAGCTCATTGTTGAAGATCTGACCGGTATTGAATGGAGAAGAGGTGTAAGAGGCGATGAATACAAAACATGTTGATACCGGCGAACCTATTCTTACTGACAAATGAGAGTCTGTATGGAAAGAGAAGTTCTTACATCGATGAGCATGTTCATGCACGGGTCCAGGTCACCGCTCTTAAGGGTCGGACTGAGGGCAGACAGCAGCCGGTGCACAGTGAATGTTAGAACATGGACCTGGATGGAGGGAGGGTAAGACGCGATATGAGACAGTGGTTTGAGCTACCAGATTCAACATCAAAGTGTTTGTGTTTAAATCAATTACATTAAACTTTAAATGGATCAGAGTGCGGAGGAGTGCATGTAATCAGCAAGACAGACATATACGTGTATGCTCTTCTCTGCTGTGTATGTGTGTGTGCATGCTCTTGCCTGGTAACCCTTCACCAGGACGCTCTGCATCTCTTTGAGCAGGTAATGCAAGTATCTGAACCCCAGTGTCTCTATAATCTTCACCAGCGTTCCTCTTGCCACGTCACGGACCTCCTGGAAACGGTTCCTCAGGTGGACACACACCTTGATCAGGATACTGGATATTCATACACACACACACACACACACACAAATCATCACTGAAATGTCATATTTTTATCCAAACTATCAAACAACGTCTTAACTGTCCCCTTAACTGAAGATGTCACACACAGAACAGATTCACGTGTATAGGTTGCAAGCCTGGATCAGAGGATTAAAAACATCCACAAATGAGAAACATTCATGGACACACAGCAGCGTACCCGGGCAGATTGGCCTCCATGATGTGCTGAGGCAGCGTCTGCATCAGTTTAACCATGGCGAATGCTATCGGTATCCTCGACACCTCCTCCTCCTTCACGTCCTTCGACCTCACCGCCTTGTGCTCCTCATCACTCTTCACCTACAGGACACAGTCACTCATTATGATACTGACGTGTAGTTTTCAGAACATGCCATGAGTCGGCTGTGTGTGCAGTGTGTACCTTTGCGGTGAGACACCTGTGCAGACGAGGCAGCACGCTGTCATTCACAGTCCCGTGGATGGCGATGATCAACGACTCCAGCTCCTCTTTGCTCTGTGGCAGCCCGCTGGACACTGCCACAGGTTTAGGAGCCACAGGTCCCTTGGCTTTAGCGCTGGCCGCTTCCTTTGAGACGACATTGCTTTCTTCATCATTGTCCACTTCCATGGGAACATCAGCCGAAGCAGTCTTACTGTCGGTCTCCATTTCCTTTTCATCGTCACTTGCGTCGGATTCGTCTGCTGCCGCTTCATCCACGTCATCTGCTTCGACTGAGACACTCCCAGCTTTTCAAATATGTATTGTTTGATTTAGTTGAGTTTATACAAAGTCAAGAAATAGAAAATACAACGATTGATTTTGTTTTAAATCAAAGAAATGCATCAGAAATTTACTAGTGTGACTTGTCACACTAACACAAATATGAGAACATAAAGAAAAGATCTGATTGGTCACTGACCTTCTCTGGCCTTCGCTGCCTCCATTTCTCTGCTGAGGGTCTGGTGGTCGAAATGAAAAGCTTCCAGAACTGTGACCAGCAAACTGCAGTTAGGGAGGGAGGGTGGAGAAAGGTTAATGGCTTGTATTTATATATTTAAATGGAAAGAACTAAGAACATTAAAAATGGTTCAAAGAAGAGGAAGACCCTACCTGACAGCCAGTTTCTGCTCAATCTGTGAAGTCTGCAGGATGTGGACGAAGTGTTTCAGGTAGTACAGATACTTGGACCAGGTCAGCCTGCGACAAACTGCGCCCACCACCTCCACCGATGCTGACGTCATATTCTCATGCTGCAGCACGGGAGAAGAGGAGAGGATCCGACAACCAAACAAACTGAGTTATCGCCAGGGGGTTGTATTTCTCTGTCGACAGTTTCAGTCTACATACACTTTTTTCTAGACTCATGTGAGGTCACTGCGACCTTTGACCCATAAAATCTGAGTGAATATTTGAATTTGAAAGGATTCTCTCGAGGCGTTCTTATGACAATGCATTCATGAGGCAAAAAAAGACCTTGAACCTTCAAATTCTAATCAGTTAATCGTTGAGTCCATGTGAATGCTAGTACCAAATTTGAATGGATTAACTTGAGGTGTTTCTGAGGTATCGCATTCACAAGGCAAGAAATGAGTTCTGTGAGGTCACAGCGACCTTGATCTGTGACCTAGTCCATTCATCTATGAGCCAAAATGACAGTTTAAACCTAATTTGAAGAAATTCTCTCTCAAAATGAAATGCGTTATGTTGCTCATTGGAATTAAAACTGCTTTCTTTACATAGGTTTGTGTGTAGATAAACCACCTTGATCATCTTTTCATCGAGCAGGGTGGTCATGGCATACGGCATGATGTAATTCTGCAGGGAACGGGACGTCATCACCACCGTGCCCTCGGTCAGCTGCTTGGCCAACTTCCTCAGCGCTCGACCCCGACGGTGGATCTAAACACAGTGAGACGTGTCAGTGTTTGTGATCAGCAGGAAAAAAAAAGGCAGAGAAAAGAGTCAGGGGTCGTCCCTCACCTGGATGTGCTTCATGTGCTCGAAGAAGTCTGACTCCAGGTCATTGTAGTCTGTGAGCTGCACCAGGTCTCTGAACTCCTTTTTGGAGGGGAAGGTCTTCACCAGGCAGGCGAGCACGGTAGTGTAGTCATGCTGTACACTCTGGTAGAGTGAAGGAGACAATATTTTTACACGTATGTCAGACTGAATGTGTGTTGCAGTCTCTTATTTGATGCAGCTAGTTTGTAATAACTGGAGGACGAGTGTGTGTTTGTGTGTGCACCTCTGTCTTGCTGCGGAGCCCCTTGTGCACAGCGTCCAGGATGGTGTGTTGTACGACGTCCTTGTAGATCTGTTCTCCAGCTCCGACTGCTGCCAGCTGGGTGATGACTGCAGACAGACACAAGGTGGCGTTGTCTGCCAGGGACATGTCACAGATCTGCACCGAAGGAGAGACAAGTTACGTTCAGAACGGCGTTTAACGGCTGTTCCATTCGCAGTTTCTTTTAAGCACCGGGGCGCATTGACTGGTGGGTATTTTGTCTTGTCAACTTCAGGCGAACTGATGAACTGTCGTTCAGTTCTCCCCCGCACAGTTCCCAGTTGCCTTTGAACTGAGTATGATTGCTACCTATGGAACAACAATCTTATGATGTTATGGCTACTAGTTTAAACAGTGAATCTGCACCATCAAGTACTGACCTCGTAGGTGTGGAAACAGTTGTAAATGATGGTGCTGATGTAGTCCAGGTCCAGAGTCTGCATGTCTTTGACACGTCTGGTGGCGTCTTGGAACGCTGTCAGACGCACGTCAAAGTAGATCTCGTCCAAGTGTCGACTGTCAAACGCGTTAAGCTGGAGAGCAGGAAACAGTAGTTTTATGTGACTCATTGTAACATTGTGAAGCTGGTGATTACTGTGTGAATACTAATACAAGATGTACATGTAATAAATTATCTCACCTTTGCTGCTAAATCAGTGATATATTTGAGGGAAGGTTCCAGATCGGACAGAGTCTGAAAATAGAGAAGCACAGACAGAATAAAAAAACGATTCACATATTGTGTGAAGACTTTATTCAGTAAAGACCTGCATCTGCAGCAATTCACTTGTCTCCTCGAGTATAATATTCATGATTCACAGGGATTAATGTCATTCACGTGATTATAGAGGGTGAAAGTCTCCTGTATGTTTAAAAAATGTTTTAAAGAAGAGAAAAATAAAGAAGAAGCTTGTACAGATTTCTTTCTTTTCTTGTCTTTCATGTCCAGCCTGTAAAACCCAGACATTTATCCAGGCAATCAGAGGTTGGAATTCAGAATCTAATGGTGTTCAATCTATTCAGTTACTGTGTTCCTGTAATCACTGTATCTTGTTAGTTTTTCTGTCGTACCTGGAAGACGTTGGTGAGGGCCTGCCGGGGAAGCTTGTTGTGAATGACGGAGAAGAGTTTGCTGAGCGGGCGCAGGAAGGTGGCGGGCTGCACACACTGTCTCATCAGGTTCTGTACGGTGGCTAGGACATCGATTTCTGTCTCCTGAAACAAACACAAAGAGAGGTGAGGGACTCATGCTTTTCTCAATATCTGCACATACTTTCTCTTTCACTTGAAACAGAAGGCCGAGGCCCTGACCATCACACTTACATTTTTAAACACATAATATTACATGAAATTTTTTCTATAAAATCATGTGAGTTCTTATAGAACAGAAAATAATGATTAGTTGGTCGTACTTGAGAGTTGTTTCCTTTCTGCAGGTACATCAGCAGCAGGCTGATGAGCACTGAGCTCTGCTCTGTGTCGCTCACAAACCGACTGACCCTGGGAGAGAGAAAGTGACACATCAAGAGAATGAACTCTACTGTATCAGCTTACGTCCAAAGAGAGGATTAGAGTTGAGCGTGAACTCACTTGGAGAGGATGTTGAGCTCCTTGGCCACCTGCGCTCTGAACTTCTTCTTCTTGAGCCGGTCGCTGTTGCGTACAACAGAGGTGAGGTACCGCAGCAGAGTGGAGATGTGAGGCAGCAGCAGTCTGGAGCCCTCAGTTAATGAATCTGGAGGAGATACAACACACTTGTTTAAATTTGGCCAGCAAGCGCAAACCTATTTCAATCTTTTAATCAAAAGGCACAATCTGCTAACCTGCAGTGATGAGAGCGCCCTCTGCAGGCTGCGGGAACACACTGTTGTTGACGCTCAGCTCTGTCTCCGTCTCCGAGGCAACAAAGTCATTGGCTGTTGCTAGAGACTCAACTATGTCCAATACCATGGCGATGATCGGTTGGGAAGTATTCTTGGCAGAGAGGAGGGCAAAGACGTTTGTGAGGACATCACACTCTGGATGGTCTGGTCTGTGCTTGGCCAGAAGGGGGAAGTACCTGCGACAGAGAGAGGAAACTGCTGGTTAACACTGCTGGAGGATGAGTGGAGAGATAGATGGATGAGAGTTGTGATGGAAATAAGACAGAAAGAGAAGTTAAAGTCTGACCTGGCATTTTTGCACCACAAATGGACGAGTTTCAGCAGAGGGGTTGGAGAGTGGATGCTCTCTGTGGGCAGACGACACACCTGCACAAAACAAGAAATTCAAACTTCTAGGTGACCCAGAACTCTATGGACAAAGAATACAAACACAAGCAAATCCCAAGAAAAACTAGAATCACGGCCCTGGGGTTGTATGCCTCGGCCAATCAGTGCAGCTTCAACTTACATACAATTTTTTCAGATTCATATAAGGTCACTGTGACCTTTGACTTTTGAGAACTGAACTCAAATCAGTTTATTTTTATGTCCAAGTGAAAACTGCGCAAAATTTGGAGACATTCCTTCATGGAAGACTTGACAAATGTTCAAGATACCAAAACATGTTTTGTGACGCCATATGACCTTTTACCCATCTATCTTGACTGGAGAGAGAAGCTCTCTACAATAATCCATTGTACCTGTACACAATGGGAGGGAATTCCCCTGCTGTGTTCCTGAGACTCACTGTTCACGAGGCAAAAAATGCAAAAACACAAAAAGTAGTCTGTTACATGTACCTGAGGCCAGACCACAGCCTGGAAGACAGCATCCAGCTCTTCTGGGCTGAAGCTGTAGGAGTCAAAGGCGTCAAAAAAGTCCAGGACCCTCAGGATGCCGAGTCGCCTCAGGTTCTTCAGAGGACTGATGCACCCTGCTCTCAGCTGCAAACAACAAGAGGTTTTTAAACTTCACTGAGGAACTTGTTAGAAAACTTTACTGCTCACACGGTAATGCAAGAGTCAAACATAACATAGAGACTAAAGCCATAAAAACAAAGCAAGAGGAAACCTGACCAGGTACAAACTACAATTCAGAACAAACTTTACAACAAGCGTTACCCATACAAACTCTTCAACATACTGTAAAACTCAATCATGTGTATTTTAGGGTACATTTGGAGATAAGAAAACTTGAAATAACACAGAAATACTGCAGCTGCCTCAGAACAGCTTCAACCAATTTAATTTTGCATGCTTAGGATGCTCTCAAGTTTTTCTAGCATCAAACTTCTAATCAAAATCAAACTTATCAGAAAATGATTACTTGGACAAACATCAGTGTGACAGCAACTACCTAAAATGACAGAAACTTTGACTTTTTTGTTTGGTCCATGTCCCAACTGCTAAAATAGAGGAGGTGACATTAGTAAGTTATACTGCAGTCAGTCACTAGGTGGCGATCAAAGACACTTGGGCAGTATTAAATGCATATTTAGCAAACAAACAAATAACTTTATTGATTCTCCTTCCTGGTTACCTGGTCTCTGTTGTCCAGGACGTTGGACACGGAGGCAGTGACACACAGCAGGATCTGCAGCACTTTGGGCAGGTAGATGTGGATGAGGTGACCCAGTTTCTGGATCACAACGTTGATGATGTTCAGGAGGCTGTGCTGACGGCCCAGCGGCAGGATGGCGCCCATGTCTGTCTGAGCAACGGCCCTCTCCACCGCTTCCAGACAGGAACCTGAGGACACAGGGAAAGATCGTGAATGGAACTTCTACTGATCAAACAGCTTTATTATGAGTCTCAAGAAGTAGTTTATTCAAGAGATAGTTGATTTTTTTTTTTAGATATGTGAAAAACTAAAAATGTTGTCCAGAATATTCTGTTCTTAACACAAGTTGATGCGTTTCCTGTAACTTCTTTTATTAAGGTTTTATGGTCAAACCTTGGCTGTGATGGCAGACGGGCTCCAGCAGCAGGTCGATGAAGATTCCCAGCTCCTCAGCCTGGCAGCCGGCCAGGAAACGCAGGATGATGGAGGAGCGGGAGGCGGAGGAGGCTTTCCCCTGGAACTTGCTGCCCGCTTTGCTGCGCAGACGCCCAAACAGGATCCTGTATCATGGACGGCAAAAACAAGGCTGATGAGTGAGAGAATGTTAAAATTTAGATTCTTCTACTGTCCTACTTTATGATCAGAGAAAAATAATTGTTTATTAAAGAGCGAGACTGCTGTTGAGAGCAGCAGAAAAAGACTGATTCCATGTAAATGACTGAATGAATGAAACAACAATGAAAGTATGGGTGACAGACTGGCTGGAGACATTGTGATGTGACAACATCTTCATGCTTTCAAGCAGATGAAAAGAAATGTAACTGTGTCTTTGTGTTCCTTGGTTAATATGTAACCTCATGGGTGTTTAATAAAGTTCAATAAAAATAGGTGGTCTGAAGCCAGTTCAAATAGCTTGAAACCTTTTAGAAACACACGTATCCAGCTTCTGGATGAGGGTGAATTTATTGAGGGGATATGTACTGCTCTCATGTCTGTTATTTACAGGCTAAATACAAAGTTGAAGTTAATAGAAGACAGAGCTTGGAATGTAAAAATAGAGAGAGTGGTATAAAACTTCATCATCAAACACAAAAGATATTTGTGCAGCGCGCGCACACACACACACACACACACACACACACACACACACACACACACACACACACACACACACACA